CCACATTTTTTTCTGTACCGTTGTGCTCCATTAAGTGAGAAGTCTGATAGTAATCACACTGTACAATCTTTGTGGTTTGCAGTAGGGCCAAATGTCCATCAAGGCCTGCTTTCACATAACCAAGGTATTTCAACTTTTTTTTTTCTTTGAGTGTTTGTATGTTTCTTCACCACTGTGTCAGGAAAGAACAGAGGTAAATTTGGTGGGTTCCATATATAGATGATGGCATTGGCTTACATTTTACGTCAGTTTTCTTTAGAATAAAGAAGAGCAGCACAACAAGCAACTGTAAAATAGTCCTTCCTGTTATCCTGTTCCAACAGTTGCTTTGTATGGTCACTTTCATTAAAAATGTAGTCTAACTTGTTTATGAGTCACACGGTTCAAGCCAGTGGGAAAAGGTTGAGTGAGGGATTTTCTTGTCTTTCTATTAATATTTTTTAAACCTGTGTTGTACAGATGGTTGAAAAATATAATTTCTTTTGGTAATGATTTTAATTGTTTTGATGGTTTACCTGTTTTTATAATATTAGGTTGAATGTTTTTAATTGTACTTTATGAGTGTATGGCATCAAATTATGCCAATTTCTGTAAGCCGCCTTGAGTTGCCGTAAGGCTGAGAAAGATGGGCTACAAATGCCATCAATCAATCAATCAATCAATCAATCAGCAGTTCTGTGCATGGTTTAGTCATCTCTGTGAAGTTCTATGAAGTTGGGGATACTTTTATTGAATTAAAATGTTCATTTATTTTTCTTGCTCCAGCAGCAGTATGTGGAATGAATTCAGATGAAGTCTTAAATACAGAATATAGCTATTTTAACAATTAACCAGAAGAAACAGAGTGTGAAAAGATGGGCAAATTGTTGGTTATTTGGCCTGTGAATGAAGTAAAAAGATGGACTTAGCAAATAAGTGTTGCAGAAAAACCAGAAAACCTGTATTACTAAGAGTGCTGCTGCGTGAGTCCCTTTCACAATGAGCATTGCTCATTAAAATCTATTTATAATATTTTAAGAATATGTATTGTCGAAGGCTTTCATGAACAGAATAACTGGTTGTTGTAGGCTTTTTCGGGCTATATGGCCATGTTCTAGAAGCATTCTCTCCTGACGTTTCACCTGCATCTATGGCAAGCATCCTCAGAGGTCGTGAGGACCTCACTACCTCTGAGGATGCTTGCCATATATGCAGGTGAAATGTCAGGAGAGAATTCCTCTAGAACATGGCCATATAGCCCGAAAAAACCTACAACAACCAGTTTTAAGAATAGTTGAACCAGAGTTGCTTTGACTGTGTTCTGTAATACTTACTCATTTTAGGCATGAAATAGATCATCGTGAATAGGAGGAAGTGTTCTTAGGTCAATACCAAGTACAAGCAATTTCTTTTTCAAATGTAGAATGGAGGGTAGAGTGGTGAAAAAGATAATCTTCTATTTTCAACCATAAAAGCTCCTTATTCTCATACAACATTGCTAAACTGTATCAGGATATATCACTGGATCTTCATTAGGCTAAATATTTTATGTTTGTGTTGAAAAGGAGAAAGAATGATTTTTTGTTGTGATATCCAAACAGATTATTTGATTTGTTTTTTTAAAAAATGGAAATCAACGAAAACTCAAAATCCAGGAGAAGCAAGGCAAACCACAAAATCAACAATAAAGAAACTATTTATTAGATATACACATGATTGCGAAAAGAGTGCAAATTGTACTATTTAGAAGTCACAAATTCCAAACTCTTACACAGATCTCTACCTAGAATCTCTTTCTCAATGTAATATGGTTTCAATGAAGTGGAAAGAGAGAATTTCAAAATAGTTTCTTAGTACCCTTCTCTGCCATACTGTTTTGGAGAGTATTCCTGCTCTTGGGAGCAGATTTATGGGCAGTGCAGAGAGATTTATGGGCAGTGCAGTCAGCAAAAATACTACCTCCCTTCTTCCATTCATAGGAGCTTGCAGTGGCTCGAAAAGCCTTCTGTGCAAGGAAGAGCAATGCTGTTTGTTCTGTACGGCAAAACAGCATTCAGCCATCTGAATTGGTGTTTCGGTAGAAGAAAACAAAATTTCAGATTGCAAAATTCCCCTCATATTTAATACTGAAGAAAAAATGGGGATGGGGATGGAATAAGAGAAGAAGCTGACAGTCTGTCGTCTGTCCACAATATGTTGCAGTCCAGGCCACTCCAACTATCAAGCAGAGTGAGGCACAAGCGTCAGCCACCAGTTTTGAATGTCACGAAAGGACAGCAAAATTGTGATTAATTATCATTGCATTTTACCACCAGACAGGATAACTGGTGCTTGTGCCTGGCTTTTCATGTTGTACACCTTGATTTAAGTAAAGTTGAGTACAATTTGTTGCTCACATCAAGACATAAGATATGTTGCATTGCTCCTGGTCAGAGTCTCAACAGGGAGAATTATTTCCAGAGAGACAGAGAACAAGCAAAATAGACTGAGAGTGCTCTCATATTCAGGACATACAGGGAACAAACCTGTGATGACTATTTTCTGTTTTCAAATTACAAAAACCAGCCATTATATGAGGCTATTTGTAGAACTGGTTTAGCAACTGATGAGTACAAAGACAGTTGGACCAGTAGAAGCAGACATTGTGTGTGCTTAACCTTTATTGTATAATAGAGATTGAAGCTCTATCCTAGTCTTCATCCTGCTCTTTATCAATTTACTTTAAAAAAAAACATTTTAAGTGTCTCCACAAAATCCCTCTGTTTTTTCAAATGCCAATAATATGGCATTTTCTATCTCTGAGTACTGAGGCAAGTTTCCACCAGAACTTTCCAAATTCTGACTTTTGAACAATATATAGTGTGGCATTGAGGAAAAAGGTCAGTTGCCTTTGAGAATCTGACAGCCCTATTTCAGAAAATAGCGAAAGTATAAATGTAGGGAAATTACATATGTTTATACTTTACAACCTCTCTGCATTGGGGCACTCTGGTGGTAGTTGGCATCCTCCTTGAAAAGAAATATTTTCTGAGTGTTCCAGAACATGGCTATCAAGCAGCGATCAAGCCACTTGAAAACTTCAAAACCTACTCAACAGGGCTTAAGAATAGTGAAAGCATGGCTTCATAAAAGCCTCTTACAGATGCAACTTACGCACTGCCTCAGCAGCAGCTTTAAAACTATCAGCTTGTCAGAACAAAAAGAAATACTTGTGAATTTATGAAATCAGTGCATAACCCTGGAGATTTATGGGGAATGCATTCTGAGAGAGAGGAGAGTACCTCAACAGAAGATAAAATGAAGGCTAGGCATCCGCAAGGGTTTTTTATTTATTTATTTTACTCTAAAGGATGACTTCCTTGACATCCTCTTCTTTGTTGAAGAACTGCTGAAAAGACAAAGTACAGGAATATAAACAACAGCAATTGTATAAATTATCTCCTTATACTAGAATGCTGGAAACATAACATTAAATCATGAGTCTGTTACCTTTCCTTTCTAACCAAAGTCATATAAATGACTATATTACAAGGACGACATTTTGATTCTTTTGAATCATTGAATTTAGGGCAGAGACATCTCTGTCACAGGTTGGATTTTCTCTTTTATTATTTGTTTTATGTTAATCCTGAATTTTCCAAATACATTTTTATTCCATACTGAAGACAGTTTGTGGTTGCAGTCCAGCAGTGCTTAGTGCAGCACATAGTATAGTGCCGCATGGGTGTGTCCCGACAGAGAGAGAACAAAGACCTGTTGTGAGACTGTTAATATTTCAGGATCAAAGAATTAGAAACAAGGTGAAAAAGATGGGGGTACCTTGCAAGTCAATGCTTTCTAATTTGGAAAAGTGTGATAGAATTTGGGTGTGTTTGGAAAGCTGTCTTTGTGGAAACAGCATTGTGCATGCCCATTTATGCATCTGTCTGTCTGTCTGAGAGAACAATAACAGCTACTGAGGGGAATATGTGTAGACTAGATGACTAGTAAAAATTGAATTAGCCTGACAAGGACATTTGGGGTGGGGGCTGAATGGACCATCAGCCTGATGGAAAACAGAAGAAAGCCCTTGGTGACATAGCTTGACCTGGGATGTCATTGTAGGTTTTCTGTGTAGTACTCTCATTCAAAGCTACAAGGCTTGTTATTCAATAAAATCAATTTGATGGAGGTTCACCATATAACACAGAATTCACTTTAAAGGAGAAAAATTCTGTAGAGTGCTTTCTAATGGATACGACTTGGTTGAAATTCTGGCTTTAAGGTGAACATCTTGTGCATCCCTCATGAAAGCTAAAGTTATCGGAGTCAGGCGGACTGTCTTTTGTCATTAAAATCACCAAAACATCTAGAAGTTTTATAGGAAAGGTGATTTTCTGTACTTGTTAGTAATGATGATACAAAGTTATCTAGTAAACTTTGTGACATGTATGAATATTTATTTAATTTTTAAGCTGCCATTTTGGAGCATATCAGTCTAAAAACACTCAAAAAGATATTGTCCCATTATAATGCTGGTTGCAGTAGTTTAAAAGCCATGATCAACTTATTTTGCTCATCTTTCCTAAGAATCTACTGAAGTTCTTTCAATCCATAATTGCTGACATATTTTGATCAATTTGATCTCACTTTTTCTATATTAAATAAAATACATATCTGCTGCTTTCTGATGTTACTTTGAAAGGATTTGGAAAGAGATTCTGATGGGAGATTCCGTATTTTAACAAGGCTGAAATATAAAATTATATTTATATTTCACTTTAATTGGACTCACCGAGCCTTCTTCTTGGCCACACACATTTTATATGTTCCGTTTTTGCCTTCTTTGCTGGATCAAACATCCTTCTGTCTGACATTTCATTCACTTTCTTTGTTTCATTTTCAAAGGTTTAATTTGGTAATTGAAAAGCATATTTTTAAAACAAAATATATAATTTAATAATGCATTTAAAATCTGCCAGAGTAAATTGGAAAAAATATTTTTTTTTCTTAATGAGTGTGTATTTTCTTTCTTTTTTAAGGGACTTAAGTGAAAATCAGATCCAAGGCATCCCAAGGAAGGCTTTTCGAGGCATTACGGATGTGAAGAATTTGTAAGTAGATTATATTTAAGAAGTGTGTATAGATGGCATACGACACAGAGCATGGAAGTGATTTCCGTGTCTTTCAATAGCTGGTCAGCTTTGAGTTGCTCTATGCAGCTGAATATACGAGCCCTCCTCCAAGGTTCCATCCATCTCCAAGGGTCATTTCACACTGCACAGTTGTAGCATTGTCTTCCATTTTAACAGATATGACATGTTATGGAATCCTGGAGTTTGTAATTTGAGGAGGTTGTGGAGTGCCATTGCTAAGAATTTCAACCAACCGTCCTAAATCTGCAGATCACAGAATTCTGTAGGATGGAATCATAGCACTATAATGGTATAATGTGGAAATGTTCCAGTAATCCATTTTGAGGGGTAAGGTAGCCTGTATAAAACAACAAGTGTGTTGCTCAAAATGAGAAGACTGACCATTCTTTAACTTACCTTTGCATATTTTCGCTAATAAGCATATTTATAATGAATGCACAGCTGAAATTTCACATTTGAGAAACAGTACTATTTTTTATTGACTTTTCCAGTGAAAAAGACTTGATTGAATGTCATTTGATGCAATATTTTAAACCTTATAGTGAAGAACTTAAAACTCAACATTATAGACATATCGTTGAAAAGTCCTAGTTTTTGTTTGTGTTCTTACTGATTTTTACACTAGGTTAAAATAAACCGACCTAGGGAGCTGATATAAAAAATATGAGATTGTACTGGCAGCTGATGGAAAATATTGTGGGATTAAAAAAGAAAAAGAAAACATGGATGAGTCTCCAAAATAAAAGATCAGTAACAAAGTCTGAAGCTTTCTGACTATTTCAAGCAGTCTGAACATGCCCAATATGAGCACCTACATCTTGTGGGATGCAGTTTAACTCCAAGGAATCATACCTTGTCTTTCTAGTAGCAATGATGGTGAAACAATAATTTGTACTGTCTTTTCTGTTCTAAATTTGCAAGGCAATTCAGATACATTGTTCCAATAATGGTTATAAAGTACAGTAACATGTAGATACAGTATTTCCTTGATTCTAAGTTATACATTTCCCCAAATACTGGAGTGTGCAATAGAACCATGTTTGGTTTTTGAGTTGTTGTGTGTTTTCCAGGCTCTATGGATATGTTCCAGAAGCATTTTCTCCTGATGTTTCATACACATCAATGGCAGGCATTCTCAGAACTTGTGACCCACAAAGTCTAAGGATGCCTGCCATAGATGTGGGTGAAATGTCAGGAAAGAATGCTTCTACAACATGGCCATACAGCCCGGAAAACACAGCAATGATAGCCTTTGACAACACTTTTTTGTTGTTGTTGATGGTACTGAAATTAGTGTTTTACAATTGATGGTATGCTGAAATATGGTATTATTGTCCAGTGTTTTAGAAAAGAAGTTAAAACGAGCTAATAAATTGAAATGTTGCAAATTGAAGTGAAGAATTCTAATTAATGTTCTTGCTATCTCAGCAAAAATAACTATGCAATTTATTATTTTTCTCCTCTTGCAAAAGGATTGTTTGTCCTTTATATTAAAAAGAATTAGGGGTTCAAATATAATCTTACATTCCCAATTATCAGGATTAGTTAATTTCATGATATGTCAAACTTCAACTTAACACTATTGTTTACTGTGTTTAGTACATATGTCCAACATTTTCAGATGAGAGAAATTTTGTGGCACGAGACTATTTGAAAATGAGAATGATGTGCAAAAAATATTTTGAAGCTAAAGTTTTAAAATATTGAAATATCTTTAAATATATTTTACATGTTTAAACTTTAGCATTAGCATAATTTTGAATATTGGTTTTGGAAGAAGGATGCTTTAATATAAGGAAATTATTCTTAGCTCTCTTAATGTCTTTATTTTCTTTTTTTATTGCATTGCAATGTTCTTTACACTGTTTTTAGTGTATTCAGAGTTTTAAGATGCAGTGGATCTACAGCTCTGATTTCTTATTCATTTGTATTATTTTATAAGACAGTGTTTTATTTTAAAAACCAAATTCTAATATTCAGCCAAATGCATTTTATGGAATAAATTAACCTGTTACTGGGCTTTACCATAGTGTGTGCGTGTGTGTGTGTTTGTGTGTGTTATTCCAGCCACCTTAAAATCAGCTGTTTGCCTTCAGATATATTTCAGGGGCAAGGCAAAACTCTTCAGGAGGAAGATAGTCAGAATATCTGTCATTTTGTTTTTCCCGTTTTTAAAATATTCAAACTGGCCTTCAGCTTAAGCATTGGTTTTCTCTTATAGAGGACAATAGTTGAAAATCGAATACTGCAGTTGGGTAGAAAGACTATTTCTCCTGCTATTTGTATCTTAGTCGTAGAGGATTAAATAACACCTCAAAGAAAGGATAGGAGGTAAAGTAATCTATTTAAAACAAAAAAAAGGTCTTGTTTTTAAGTCTCGAAAATTTCAAATTGAATTTAAAAATCAAATAAAATAAGCATGCCTTGCAAAATTTGGAGAAATCCCTTTACACAAAAGTGGTTCTGAAGATTTAAAAGTTGTCCCATCCTTGTTATTCCAGAGCAGGGAGCAACCAATTTTATTAGTGCAGTTCTATGCCTGCCGATGCAACAACCACTAGATTCAGAGGAGCGTGCTCTCAGTTAAACATGTTTATGAGTTAGGAAAATAACATTGTGGTCAATTTTACAAAACCATTACTCCTCAAATTGAACCATCATTTTCATGATTTCTTGGATTAGACTCCTTGTTGCTCCACATGTTAGGGCTTCACTGATCTTGATACTTACTGAAGTTACAATGAAGATTTAATTCTCATAATTATGATAAATAATGAGATCAGGGACAAGATATGGGATGAAATAAGGGCAACTCACTAATTGTTCTATGGTGATGAGCAGACCAGTCATCTCAGCTTCCCTCAGATGTAAGCATCACAGCTCTAAGAAGAATCCCTGAAACTTGGGTTGCTCCCACATCAGTTACAAATTAGTAGGCTGACCCGAGGGTATAAGGCCTCAAGCCCCATGGCCCCTGAAGATGGCAAAGACCAGCCCTAAAGACAGGTGGCCATTGATTGCTTGATACTCAAGGGCAGTTCCAAATTTCCAATCCTTCACCAAAAGTATGCTGGAAGGTACTCACAGATTCATGTCTTCCCCTAAAACTTGCAGGAAGGCTTATTTATGACACCACCTGTGTCAGTTGCCAAATTCTCTATAATAGTAAAGAGTAGGTAAAAAACCTGTAACAAGGGGAAGTAAGGTTTCCAATCCACCCCTGCAATGACCAGAAGACTTACACTGACACAAGGTCAGGAGTGGGTCAGTGATCTCAAAGAGAAAATAAAGGGGCAGAGCTGCCTTAAATATGCCATCGTAGCCCCATCTCTCTCCCCTCTGCTGTTCACATGATGCTAGGACAAATTAATGTTAGCCTCTTTCCTGTGGAGGCCGCAAACTGATCTCCACTCTCCACCTTTGCAAGTCAGAAATCATTTCTATCCTACATCTTACAGCTTTTGCACTCAAGACAGTTACCAGTTTTTTAAAAGAGGACAAACAAATTGTGGATAAAATTAATTATAAATTATTACAATAGTGGCAATAGTTAAATTATTTAAATATGTAAATAAAAGCCCAGGAGTAAAATAAACAAAATATGGGACGGTAGTGGTGCAGTGGGTTAAACCGCTGAGCTGCTGAACGTGCTGACTGTAATTTCGGCAATTCAAATCAGTGAGATGTGGTGATCCCCTGCTGTTAGCCCCAGCTTCTGCCAACCTAGTAATTAAAAAACACGCAAGTGTGAGTAGATCAATAGGTACCGCCTCGATGAGAAGGTAGTGGCGTTCCATGCAGTCATACCAGCCACATGACCTAGGAGGTGTCTACGGACAACGCCAGCTCTTCAACTTAGAAATGGAGGCGAGCACCAATCCATAGAGTTGGACACAACTAGACTTTATGTCAAGGGGAAACCTTTACAGGAACAAAATAGTTTCATGGGCTGTCTGCTGCAAGGCTTTCAGCGATATGAGGTTCTGCCATTCTAGGAAGGCTCTCCCACAATATGTACCACAGTTGTATCCAGACCCACACTTCAAATGGCAAAGGAGGAATGCCTCTAAAGTAAAAGCAAGTGGCACAATTGAAGATATCCTAAACCCAGGCTGTTAAATATGTCATAAGTCAAGAGCAGCAACCTGAATGAACCCTAGAAGCAAACTGGTGAATAGTTTGCTTTATATAGTGTGATTACTTGACCGCAGTGAAAGCCTGGGTAGCTGCCTGCTGGACTAATTTAAGTTTTGAGATTATCATGAACAAACCACAGAGCACTTTACAGTTGTGTTGTTACTAGGGAATAAATGACTGAGGTCAAGTTGTAGTTTTCCGAATGAGAATGCCGCTCAGTTTCCCAGTGATTTTTTAAAAATGGTATTTAGGCTATTTCAGCATTGTGGTGGTTATTGGTGAGAAAACAGAAGTTTACAAAATGTGCTCTTTTGAATCAAAATATCTCTATAGTGCAGAGCTTGGAAGAGGCTACAGAAACAACAGGAGTATCAGTCCTTCACTACATGTGCACAGCAGGTGTCTTACTATACACAGCATATTTTGACCGCTCTGAAGAACTCCTTGCAGATGTTGCCTTGAATATCTGAAAGCACACAGAGAGTAGTGCTGAGTGTTACCTAATGTGGGAGTCCTCTGGAAATGCACAGGGCTCAACACTTCCTGGTTTTTTTTATAATTTCCTGTAATGCCTGAAATAGAATGATACCTTTTTCATCATCAGATACATGAGCTTGGTTTGCACTTGGCTATAGTCTTTCTCTATTTTGCTTCCTTTATATTTTGTAACAACCAAATCCACTTGGATATGAACTGCTTTTCACAACATAATTGCCTAGTGGAAGACTAGCACACACCTCTGACAACTTTAAGGGGAGTCATGTGATCTAGTTTTGCATTTTTTCTTTGTATGTTTTTTCAAAGTAATGCAATGGAAAAAA